ACAAATATTAATCCGTCATGGACTGTATGAAGATATGCAAGAGACGTTTGACGACAACCCAATGTTCATCAGTTGGAAAGTGCATAAATGAGTATAGCTAATTGACCAAAAAAAAAAAGAATATATGGCCTAGTTAATGTCAAATAAAACAAGCACCCACAATACGCTGATAGAAATCTCTTTTAGAAAATGGTGCTGCAGATGATTTCGAGAGAGGAGGATTCTCAGCCATAAAAGTTAAGCACAATTTGAAATGTTGCATACTAGTTGAGTATAATAAATTATGAATATATTTGGTCTAGGACATTAGTAAGCCATGCAGCAAAAACTTGGCATGAATACCTAAGAAGTAGTGCAAAACACTAAAATCTTTAATCAGAAAGGCCTTTAAGTGGTGCAATGAGTTGTTGAACCAAAGAAAAAGAAATACCTATAACAATAATATCATCCACGTACACAAGAACCAAAACTTTAGATGTGCTGGAATTTTTAGGGGTGCTAGTTAATCGGACCAACCCGACGAACCGTCCGACCTGATTTAAATTTGGTCGGTTCGATTCGAATAATTTAATGTTCAGTTGGAATTTTGGGTTCACTCGAATAACTGATTACTTATTCGGTTCGAATTTCAGTTTATAAAAATATTTTTGGACTCCGCCCGAAAATCCGAATAAGAATTTTAATATATTATTTTTTATTTTAATTATTAATTTACTTTTAATTTTTTAAAATTATTTATTTATATTTTAATTTTAATCCTATAAACCCCAAAAAACCTTCCCCCTCCTTTTCTTCCCTCTCCTTTCTTTTTCCGCCCTTCCCCCTTCCTTTCTTTCTCGGCCGCCACCCCCTTCTCCCCTCCTTTCTTTCTCCGCCGCCAACCCCTCCCCCCCCCCATCTTTCTCTCCTTTCTTTCACCGCCGCCACCCCCTTCCCCCCTCCTTTCTTTCTCGGCCGCCACCCCCTTCCCCCTCCTTTCTTTCTTTCCTTTCTTTCTCTGACGCCACTGGGGATGGGTTTTGGGTGGTTCTAGGAGGAGATGGGTTTTGGGTGCAATTTTGGTGCGATGTTTTGATGTATCTTATTCAATTTTGGATTTTGGTGGCGGACGCCTCTGCGAGAATTTGGTTCATGAATTTTTTGACCCATTTTGTTCGGTTTAATCGGTCCCGTCCCGATCCCCCGTCTGTTTAATCGGTTGGTTCGGTTTGGGAGATTTGAAATTTCGGTTCAATTTCGGGCGGGTGAAGGAAAATGAAAAAAATTGATTTATCCGAACCGAATTCACTCGAACCGAGCCGAATCGACCGAATTAGTACCCCTAGGAATTTCAAACAAATTAATAAGAATCAGCGCTAAAATGATTGAAATTCGATGTTAGCAAACCGATGAAACCAAGCACGCGGAGCCCCTTGAGATCGTATAAAGATTTTTGGAGCTTGCAAACATAATTAGAATGCACAAGATCAACAAAACCCACTGGTTGCTTCATGTAGATGTTAGTATCAATAAATCCTTGAAGTGAAGTATTAGAAATATCCAATTGATGAATAGACAACAACGAAAAATAGTAATAAAAACAGTGCGTACAGTGATAAACTTAATTTTGGGACTATGATTAAGTAGATGCGAGTGCGGAGTGTTTGAAATAGGAGACCGAGATGTAATTTGAGATTGAGAGACATTTGAAGTTGAAGGGGATATAGATGATGATGATGGAGAGGCGTGATAAGAAGGAGTAGCTGGTGCTGATCCATGTGATGGAAAAAAATTATAGGAGATGATGATGAGTAATAAGAATACGGTCACGTGGGATGATAGGTTCCATGGTTGGGGAAACAAATAATTTAGATATAGTGAGCCATGGTGATGAAGAATTAGAAACTCTCTCAAGAGTGTTATTTGCTACACGAAATGAAAAAGTCCGGTAATGAAATTTGGCATGATGTGCCAAGTAAATTCAGCCTGTGAAAACATCTACTCCTTCCGTCCCATAATTATTGTCCAATTTTACTAAAATGAAAGATTTTATTTTTGGTCAAACTTAACTATATTTTACCTTAAACAACTGGATATACCCCTATATAAGTAATTGTTTAACCACGAAGATTTAAAAAAAGAGTTTTTTACTAAGGACAAATGTGTAACTTGATCCATAAAAAGTCAAATTGGACAATAATTTTGGGACAAAATTTTTTGGGCAACGTGGACAATAATTATGGGACGGAGGGAGTAAACAATACGAAGCACAATTAGAAGGACTGTTACCAAGATAAACACATGGTTTAATGTGAAATCAAAACTTATTTCTATTATATGGTCGAAGGAAAGGAAATATAGCACAACCAAAGAGATGAAACTCAAGATAACTTGGATGTTTGTGATGAAGAAAAAAAGAATGGAGATTGATTTTGATAAAGGCGGAGGCAATAAATTGACTGAAGCATCACTTGTTTTAAAAGCATAATTCCAATATAAAAAAGGAACATGACCATGAGCAAGTAAAGTAAGACCATATTATAATATTATAGATTTTCTTTCGGCAATACCAGTTTTCTCCTGGGTATAAAGGATAAGCATATGGTGAACAATGCCAAGACTAGTAAATGAAGTACGAAATTTCTAATATTCCCCTCCCGAATCATGATGAAAAGCTCTAATTTTAGAATTAAATTGAAGTTCAACAAGAGCATTGAAATGAAGAAAAGAAAAATACACATAAATTTTATTCTTAATCAAGTACAACCATATAAAATTGCTAATGCTTTGGCCTTTTGAAGAAATTCAGTAATAGACATGTCATTTTTTCTTGAGCTCTTGTAACTCAATATGAAGCTACAGTTCGCGTGTCTGAGATATTACACCAAATGCAGTTGTCCAAGCTTGCCAAATATCATAGGAAGTGGCTAATCCAACCACACAAGGAAAGATAAGCAACATTTAGTCCTTTTTATACCACGACTCATATGTTGGATTTGTTTTTTTTTTTAATCAAAATTTGAGGGGGATGTAATCGTTTTGAGAAGAGCAGCAACAGAGCTATTAAAAAAAAAAACGTTTAAGTAATAATAATTGAGTAAGGGAACAAATTTTGATTTGCGGATAAGAAATTTTGGTGGAAAGTTTAATGGAGATATAGTGGTGAGTAAAAATAGCACCTGGTTGAGAAGTAGAGGAAACAAAAACTAGAGATGTACTTGCAGTGCTCATGATATTGTTCCGTACCATATAAATGAATAGAGTTTGATGAGTAAAAGTGATTTTCTTACATTACATTCAATGCAGTTTCACAAGCTTATATTGACACGGCTTAACATTTTACTAAAATAATTCATCTATTGTGACAACTGCATATGACTAGGATGAATTCAAACTAATTACAGTATAACCTCTAAAAATTAATACACTTGGTCCTCAAAAACTTTTAATTTATCGAGTTATTAATTTATCGAGTTATTAATTTATCGGTAAATTAATAATTATTAATTTATCTGTAAAATTAATATTTTATTAATTTAAAGAGTTTTTTTCAATCCTATAAGTAAGAAAATACAAAAATTTATCATTTTTATATCAAGTAAACTCTATTGCAGCCTTAGTCATAACATTCTAATTGGAACAAAAACATGATGATTGCAAACATAAATTAAATTTAAAATCTAAGTTAATCTTCAAATATAATTTATAATATTAATTTATGAAATTCTGGGGACCTCTATATACATTGGAGATTCTTGAATTAATTGAATTTTTTTTTTTCATTTTTTGTACTGGTCCCGAGTTAGGAATGGGAAAAAAAAATACTATCCAATAGATGTTATAATTAACAGAGGATTAATTTAGGGAATTTTTTACTGTACTTTAAATTAAAATATGGAAATTGAAAATCTAGCACTTTAAATGAGGTGGTCCTTTAATTCATAGTAGCAAGGACACAAAGAACTACAATATAATAAGAATATTTAATTGATTATTTGTACCGGTAGAGCAAGCGGTAGAGCAAGAGATAGTGGTCATTAGACTATGCAAAAGTGTCACTCTAGGTAAATCAACAAATTTAATTTAATTTAATTCAATTCATTCCACTAACAAAAATAACGAACGAGCTATCTCTGTTGACGTTGTTGTTAACAAAAAAGTGTATTGCTATCAGAAGTTTTAATAAAAGTTAACAAAGTGATTTTAATTGTTTCTTTAAGTTAAATAAACTAAATTATATTTATTGAGTTACATAGAATAATAGCCATTGTTACAATTTACCTTTATTCTTTACAAAATATTAGTAACCACCACTATTAACATGTTATTTCTTTTAAAAAAAGGATTATTTTCATGTTCAAATTAAGTAAATCGTAATTGATTCATCTAAAAATTTTTATATTTTTAAACAGATTTAATACAAACGTGTTGCATCAGTTTCAATGCATCTCATTCCCCTGTGTAGCAGTGTTGGTATATTACATATGAAAGGTCTATTTCATAATAAGAATTTCACTTAACATTATTCCAGAAACAATGTTACATAATTTTACTATTTTTTATGTTCAAAATTTGACAAATGTAATCATATAGAATTCATAATATTGACGTTAAAGTATAAACTGAAAAACAAATGTAATAAATAGCTCAATAATCAAACGCATTGCCGAGGGAGGGAGAGGGAGAGCGAGAATACATTATCATATTACAAGAATATGATTGTGATTATGCCTGTAATAAGAGAGAGAGAATAAATTATCATATTAGGAGAATATGATTGTGATTATACCGGTAACGTATTAAGGTATATCATTATTACCATTGTCGAGTCACTGAATTTCCTACCCAATGACCAAACCCTGTTAGGAAAATATAACAAATTAGATTACACAGTAACGCAATGAATTTTCTATAAATTCTTCTATACTCAAAAAATTAAAACCATCCCTTTCGCAAATATTTCTCAGATAGTATTTTCACTACCCTTAGGGAATTTTGAATTTAAACGATTCAGTTCAATCATGGCAAGGACTAGTGGAGTCGACTTACCAGTGAATGATATCATTAACTCCATCATTCCGGCTCACAGTGACGGACGCCTTCATGGCTTAAAACAAGAGTTAATACAGCTCAAAAAGAAATTAGAAGACCAAAAGAGACGTGCAGAAGCTTTGAAAAAAGCGAACGAGGACTCAAGAAAGGATCACTGGTGGAAGAAACCTATTGAAGAGCTTGACATAGAGCAGCTCATGATGTATGAAAAGGCGCTGGAAGGACTCGTAAAGAAAATTCACATGAAAATGAAATCACTTTTTATTGATCCTAATAATGTTAATGAACGTACTTCCATTGACGTTGTAGAGAATGTCAAACCATTTGGTGGAAATTAAGGCGGGTGGACAGGTTACCAGTCCCCGCCCATTTGTTGCGGGTTGGAAAGGTTCTGGAAGAGATTGATCTGAATCCTTTAATGCCTTTATTTTGTGACCCTTATTCCTTTTGTTTGCATGTTTGATGACTCAATTATAACTTTTCCCTTCCTGATTCCAAAACAGAAAAACTCGATATATGTAGGTGTAAGGAGTCTTTTTGAATGGGGACTTAGATTTGTGATAAGGTAATTTGGGTCATTGTTTTGGATCATCAATTTAGTTTTCTTATGGGAAAAAAAAGAAATTTTATTAAGATTGTAAGAGTCAACAGTGACAAGCATTGGTTCTAGAATCTTAAAAGGGGATTTATTTATTTTTATCTTGTATTTCACCTATGCAAAATAATTTCTCGTATAACTCATATAATGGAGGAGTTTTGACTTTGACGTAAGGGACCACCTTACTTTGATTGATGAATAGATTACATAGTTCACTATACAAACATAAGTTCTATCACTATTAACGTAAAAAACAATTCATCAATCATATAGTAATAAAAAGTGTATGTTCTATCATTCTTTATATGCTCATCTTACTGTTTTATAATCTCATCGATAACAACTAATCTCTAAAATAATTAACTTTACGACCCCCATGCATAAATTCTCCGATCCCCCTCCCCAGTCTTCTTTACAAAAGAAAATGAAGAATTTTCTTTTTTTCTTTTTTTTTTTTTTGCTAGAGATATAGACAATTGATCCTTTCTATAGATAAAATTCATAGACAATAACCTAAATCTCATGCAAAGCTTACTTATCTCTATTATTCTTTCACGGTGATACAAAATGTTTAAGGCCATAAGTACTACTTTCGCAGCATAGATAGATAATTATTACATTTAACTATCACAAAAGTACCATAACTTGGAATTTCATCTTTATTATATATATCTCAAGTTCAAATTATCTTTATTAAATATCATAAGTTGATTTTTTGTCTTTTTTTACTTTTCCGTCTAAAAACCGTTAAAATTGTAACGGTCAACTGGTCAACTGTAGACTTGTCAAAAGGGTAATTTTATCTTTTAAGTAAAAATAACTTTATTTTAAATTATTTTTATTTAAAAGACAAAATTACCCTTTTGACAAGTCAACAGTTGACCATTACAATTTTAACGGTTCTTAGACGGAAAAGTGAAAAGAGACAAAAATTCAACTTATGTTATTTTAATAAAGACAATTTAAACATGAGATATATAGTAAAGACGAAACCCCAACTTATGGTACTTTTGTGATAATTAAATGTTATAACTTCATGCTGAAATCTAAGAACACCTTTTCTTTTGGTTATCAAATAATGCCTTTCTTTTTTAATAAGTTATAGAATTGTTTCAAAACATGAGCACGATTTTGTGTAAAGCTGATTGAAGCTTTAATTTTTTTTTTTTCACTTAATTATCAAAAGGTCAAAAGTTACTACAAGTTGGAGTTCCGTCCTTACTAAATAACTCAAGTTCCAATTGTTCTTACTAAATACCGTAAGTTATCTTTTTGTCCTTTTCTGTTTTTCTGTCCAGGGACCGTTAAAGTTGTAACGATCAACAGGTTAACGGTTAATTTGTCAAAAGTATAAATTTGTCTTTATAATTAAAAAGTAAAAAACAAAAAGAAATTATATTTAAAACATGCTCATTAAAAAATAAAAAATTTAATAGTGAATCTCACTTTTGCTCCCTTAGGTTTGAGAGGTTACAACTTCGAGTCACCATAAAGTTTCGATCAACAAAATTGGTCACCGTCTTTTCGTTTATTCGCCACTTTTAGTCAATTTAATGGTATTTATGGTCAACTAACAGTCAATTCTTTTCTCCGTTAAGTTTTTTTAAATTTTCATTAATTTTTTACTAAACTGGGACACATAATCTATTTTTAGAGAACATAATCAGTCCCCTAACATCTTTTTTTTTTCAACAATTTTAGTCACTTTAACAGAATTTTTAAATACTTAATGACCCAATTCATTTTTTCGTTAATTTTTTTATTATTTTATTGATATATTAATAGATTGTGGGTCCTACAGGTCTTTGATCAGAATTTTTTTTAAAAAAAAAAGAATAGAAATTAAAGGAATAGTGAAAGTATTTCCGGCCTTCTTCTACCGCAATATTCTGTTCCCTGACATTTCACCATCACCTCCCCGTCGTCAAAGTAGTCCAGAAAAGGAGCCTCATTCCTGATCGTATTCGTTGTGGTTGGTTTTTTTTTTGGAATTTATTTCTCGTGTAATCCAAGTTAATTACCAGCGCTCTTTGTTTGAGTCACCTATTTCATTGTCTCTTTATTTTGTTTTCTTAATTTTGGTTTTGTCTCAAACATTTTGCGCTTGTGGCAGTGATCTATCTCTGAATATTCTTTGTTCATTATTGAATTTCACGGTTTTTTATCATAGTTTCAGTGACTTGGTAAAAATAACCCAAAAAAAAATCGTAAAATTCAAGAATGAATATAGTATATTTAGAGATACACCACTGCGACAAGAAAAAAATGTTTGAGACAAAATCAAAATTAAGAAAATAAGGGAAAGAGAAGATGAACGGGGTGATCGAACAAAGAGGCTGATAATATAATTAGACAACTTGAGAAATAAATTCCAAAAAAAAAAAAAAAACTCAACAACGAAAACCATAAATAATGAGACTCTTTTTTTGGCAGGGGCGGAATCAATTAAGGGCTTGAATAGGCTGGAGCACCTCCTGTTGCGGTGGCGGAGCACTTGCAGCGCTCTTCTCCGCCCCGCCCCAACGAGGGACTGTGCTTCTTTTTTTCAGAATATAATAGATGAAACGACGCAGCTTCATTTAGTTTTGTTTTTTTAATAAATAAAATTAATGTTATTTTTATTTGGAGAGAGATTTAAGGCTGATGCGGGGTGAGAGAACGTGGAAAGACCAGGTCAACGTGATCTCCCTCTTAGAATCCAAAGGGCAACAATTTTTCCTTTTCTTTTTAGACAAAACTTATGTGGTGCTTTAATCAGACGAGTCTTGAGTTCCAAAGAAAAAATAAATAAATCAGACGGCTCCTCTCTTCACTTTTACTCCTGAAATTTTTTTTCCAAGGCCAACATCGAATCAGAGTTGCTGCAGCTACTCCATCCGAGGGAAGAATTGTAAGATTTTCACCCTTTTCATTTAACTTTGAATTTTTCGTATATTAGTTTGATCAAATTATTTTATTGTTATTATTTAGGATTTCATTATGAAAAAATCCATTTGATATTTTGACAAAAAAGCCTAAGTAAACGGAGTCATCAATATTAGATAATCCGAACAGTAATTCTAAAGATAGCATAAAAGATCTCGATTAGAAGTATTTGATAATGATATTATTATTGGAGATTTTGGAAAAACGTAAATCAACAGATAATTATCTGGTGAAAATTAGAGATGAATTGAGGAGGCGGTATATTTTGAAAGGGTCTACCCAACCACGTAACTATGAAGCTATTCTGCAACGTTTCAGAACGCAACTAGAAGGTTTCAGTTGCCGTCGATCGACCACATTGGAAAAAAACATTGTGCATCGTGTTCTTGTAAAATGTAAAATGTTAGTTAATTTTTCTTTTGTGAGTATATGGGATAATAGATGTAATCTTTGATTTTTTTTTTTCCCTCAACTAAAAATAACAGAGTACTCCCAAATTTTAAGTTCTAGTTCCGCCACTGTTTTCTGGGCTACTTTTCCGGCAGTAAAGTCATAGTGAGACGTCAGGGAGCAGAATATTGTGGTTTAGGAAGTTGGCCGGAAACACTTCCATTATTCCTTTAATTTGTTTTTTTAAAAAAAAAATCTGATCAAAGACCTTTGAGACCCAGAATCCATTAAGAAATTAATAAAAAAATAAAGATTTAACAGAAAAATGAATTAGGCCATTAAATTTTGGAAAATTTTGTTAGAGTGTCTAAAATTGTTTAAAAAAAAAAAAGATATTCGGAGACTGATATTGTTGTTTGAAAATATATTGCAGGTCCCAGTTCAGTAAAAAAAATTAATAAAAATCTTAACGGAGAAAAGAGTTGACCGTTAGTTGATCATAAATTTTGTTAAATTGACTAAAATTGGTGAATAAACGAAAAGACAGTGACCAATTTTGTTGATCAAAACTTTATGGTGACTCGAGGTTATGACCCCCTGAAAATAAAAAATATTTAGTTTTAATATTTTAATTGTCTATTCTCATTTGACGAATTGTGCTATGTAGATCACAAACGATTGATGAGCATATAATCGTACTTTATATCACCAACAAAGTCAAAACTTGATATACTCCCTCCAGTCCTTAATATAAAGCATTTTGATTTGTCTTATGTTTCACCTAGTACATATTTTCAATTGACAAAAAAGAACCTTAAAAATAATTTATGATAATGAAGAGAACACAACGAATATAAAAATATATTTTTAAGATTTTTTGTCAGTTAAAAATGTGTAATAAGTGAAATCTAGGACAAATTAAAATATCTCATATTAAGGACCGGAGAGAGTAATAAATTGAAATATACTAATGGGTCTTTCTTATAATTTTTTGAAACTATTTGGGTGTTTTCGTGACTAAAACTAAAGAAAATTCGTTAAGTTGGATGAAAATTAGGCCAATTGGAAAAAAATAGATAATATTCAAACATACCAAATAAATTGGCTAAATAAAAATCTATAAGATATGACTGACGACGAGGGTACTTTTGAGTACAACCGCTAATTTTTCCTTATAGGAAGATAACTATCTTTAGTTTATATTTAGAAAAATTTCGTGGAAGATGGAGAACCACCAATACCGAACAGTCAAGGATTTTTTCAGTTCAAAACAATTTTTCTTGCAGGTTTTTCAAGGACTAGTGCAAGAAACCATATTGGAATAGTAGCGTGATATGAAACCTTTATTCTATGAGGAGCAAGACAGACTAGTGTGGAAGCTAACATCGACGGGAGATATTACAATCTCATCAGTATATTCCGACA